TAACCGAAAACAGTCAGAGAAAGAAATTTGCAATATAAAGAAAAAAAAAAATTAAAAAAAGTAGCAGCCAGTCTGTATTGACAAAAATCAAAGCCTTATCTGTAACTAAAGTAAAAAGCTAGAAACAGCATTTTCTGTGGTGTGCAGTGGGAAATTGTATACCTTGATTTGCAGGGTCTCTGTAGCAATAATATAGAAGAGAACAGGGAGGAGGGTGAATTTTAACCTTTGATCCTTCTCCCCAGAAACATTTTTCACATATTGCAACTGGTACAAATCCCAATTTAATGGCTGTTTTGGAACCTGCTTTTTAAAACAAACAACAAACAAAAGAAGCAGCGTGTGATCCAGACAGCTAAGGAATAAACTTGTTCTGCTTCTTTGATGTTCCCTCTTGAGGAGAGTTCTTGATCTGTAGCTATGATGAGATGGCTAACTTGATTCACAGCTAAAGAGAACTGGAGAGTTTTATTTCACATTTTGCTCTGAAATGGTGTATTAACTGTGTTGTTCTTTTCAGCATAGACACTTCACTGTCATTTTAGGATTTTGCTGATATTTCTAAACTTCTTGGAAAAAATAGCAACCTTGGTGATAATTAGAAAACTGCCACCCCATAATGAAAATACCTGAGATTTTACTTAAGACTTGTTATTCCCCTTTATATAAAGGTTTTAAAAACACCTTACTAAAAAGCTCTTTTGAAGAGTAACCAGAAACAACTGCTATCACTATAAGTACTTTATTTCTACTGCAAAACCAGCTGTATGCTGTCCTGAGTGACAATAACCTCTACTAAATTTTGCTTTCTTGACAGGTAAAACCTCAGCTACAACAGCAGCTGAAGGTGTGGCCAGTTATAAATGTGGTTTCATCTTTGCCAGGCAAAATATAGGTTAAATATGCAAACTAGTATGTGATTTAATCCAGTAAAAGTGGAATAAGCCTGTCAGAGAAAGTACACTGGCAAAAAGGGCAACCAGTTGAACATGTTATATTTTAATTTGCAGAGACAAAAATGACAAGCAATTTATTTACATAAAACTGTACAAAAGCAAATTAAATTATGTAAATATTTCATAAATAGAGGTGGACTAGCGTTTAATACATTTTGCCATGTTTAGCATAGTTGCGTGCATAGTGACTCATAATAAACAATGATAAATTGTTTTCTGCTTCACTATCAACATCCAAGTTGCAGAACAATAGTCAATGATTAATATTACAAACAGATCGTACCACACTGAATGCAAGTGCTTTAAAATTTAGGAAAAAGTTGTCTGAAAGCATACCCCAGGTAGCTGGTCAATGTTGCCTTTTTCCCTTCTATTTATGCTCTTCAATCAGTAACACAACTGAAGTACTTTCATTTCTATTGCTATTACATCTACTTCATTCCCTAAGGAAACACTATATTTATCACCAATGAAACAAAAGGAAAAGTATTTCCTTTTTCAAGTTACTTACAAGTGTTTGGTGATGGCTGGATTTATGGCAAAGTCTTTATCTGTATTCTTTGTATTCCTGCTTGACAGCTTCCTAGGGTAGCCTTTCAGCCAATCATTTCAATCCCATTTAAGTTCTTCCCCCACATAAAAATAATGTTTAACTTTTTTTCCTGAAACTCAGGCAGCAGGCCAGTCAGAAACCATATTGAATAAACATAGTGGATCTGATATCCAGAATAAGCATTAGATTTTAGACCAAAGCTATTGATTTTTCTAATACATATAAAGTTATATATTAGCGCATCAATCTATAAAGGTGCCCTAATGTAAAATACATGCAAAGCTCATTTGAGTTTCCTAAAAAAGGAAATAAAAGGATGATTTCTATACTGTACAACTGAAATGTGATGACAGCTAAAAGCAATTTAAAAAAAAAAAAAAAAAAAAAATTGTCAAATTTCCTGGCAATATAAACTGGTGACACCTTGCTAAATAATTATAATATAGACTAATCATAATTTTCCAGGCAGCAGAATTAAAGACAAATGAAAACAACCCCAAACCCTACACAAATAGCAATTAAAAAGAAAAAAAAAAAATCCTCAAGACCTACTTAAACCTCAGCCTTGTGTTAATAATGCTTAAGACTGGTCCATTAACTGAGTTTGGCAAAAGGCTTGTTTTTAAATATATTATATATAATTTCTCAGAAAATAAACACAGGTAAATATACAGGTTCAAAAAAGTTTGGAATAGCCCCTTATCCCTCATTGTCCAAACCCAACTACCACATTACCATAATAATAGGTATAAAAGGCACAGTTGCATATTTCGCATTCACCCTAATTATTTTTTATAGTTTTATTTGTTTCTTTTTATACAAAAGCACTCTATTTATGGAGTGGCACCAGATTCAACCTATTTCAAATAAAGAGGAAAAATACAAACACAAAATATATTTCTGTGTCATGCCAGGTCAGAAGAGTAATCAGCATATTAATAGTGGCTAGTTCCACTAGAATTACTGTGAATACTTACAGTAGGTAGAATTTTTTAAAAAAATTCTTTTACACCCATTTTAGATCTAAGGAGATGCACACAGGTAAAGTATTTAATGACTGTTTTATGTGGTGCAAAAATTGGTGAGTGACTGCTGATCCATTTAATCTGAAGGTCTTCTATGACCTGTATTATTAGCCTTGTAGAAAAAGGGTCTAAGAATATATGGAACTAAGCTACCTAATTTATTTTTTTTGTGTGTGTGTGTGCGTAACATTAAATAAAATCTTATTAAAGGAAATTTTGTTGAACGTTTGTGTTATGCCATTGTGTATTCTGTTGAAACGTGCAAGAAAAATGTGTATACATTACAGAAGCATTTTTAGAAGCATTTTTAAACAGGTACTTACAGATTATACAAAGCAGTAACTGCTATACGCAGTCTCGTAACAAAGTACTAGTTTGCATCTCTCCATATTATTTAAATAATGAAACATAAAAATGTTCAATCATTTTTAATCTTTGATCTTAATATTTTCTTTCTAAAATGTGACCATCGTAGCTGCTATACACTAGTGTTACTTGAAGAAAGTAAACTCAAGAGAGAAGAATGAAATGGCCAATAAGGGCACATCCCACTATATGGAGAAGTTAATTGAAACAATAAATGTGATGACTTTTATTGACTTACCAACCTCTACTTTAGGCTGTTTAATATTATTTCTATGCAATTCTTGGAAGCAAGAAACTACCCAAAGCTACATTGTGACTACAGTACACTAGAAAACCACCTAGCCATGCCTTAATACCAATTTTTTTAAACAGCCAGGAATTTGAATGCTTTCTCCCTCCTCGAGCTGTCCTTACTGGGTTGTTTGATTGTCGCGTTTGTCTGAGTGTCTGAGCTCAGTTTATCATTATTACTACAGCATCATAAAAAGCAACTGGTTGAAGTTCTGAACATTTTGTTGCTTTTATTGCACAAAACCTCTTTCACTTCCTCTTCTTTTCAAAATGCTCACCATGAGAACCATTACAGGCCAGAGCTCTTGCATATCATGGTAGGTTGGACTCCTTTTGACTCATCTTGACCTGTTAGATGAGAATCATACCACAGTTTATCATACCATTTGCTACCTAGTCTAAATGTTCTGAGTCTTTGCATCACTTTGTATTGCACTTCTTTTGGTATTAATGCACTTGTGTTTCAAGAAAACCTTCATTGTATCTTTGATATTATTGAAGCAACTGGTAATCTGCAACACTGATGACAAAAGACTTTGCAGCCATTCCTTGCACTCTGAAAAGAAGGTTTTGTATTTGACTTACAATATTCCCTGTCACTGCATCATCCCCTTGTCCACCCTTTCCATCCCTCCAAGCATTCTTATTAACACAGCCTTCTATTACTAGTATTAGTTTTTAATCTTGATCTTAAAATTTCCCTGGAACTGGCATATGCAGCATATCATATGCAGCATCTGCTGCAACATATCGTGTCATTAAAAAAAAAAAAAAACTCACGTCAGTTCCTTTAGGCATTCAACTGAGCTGCACTGAAAAAAAAAAAAAAAAAGAAAAAAAGAAAAAAAAGAAAAAATTATGTCATCTGGGCTTGTGAACTGTGCTGCTGTACAAAATGTAACTGAAGGTGTGTTATGAGTACGTGTATATTTGTGAATATACTATTTTTCTAAGCCAAGCCCCAATATTTAGCAGTTCCCCTGATCCATTGTGTGATCTTTGGCCTTTTTGTTTTTACGATTTTCCCAGCTAGATGTTAGTCTTGCCCAAAATAATGGTTTCAACAGTTTATCATTACTGTCCTATGGTATATATATTATTAATTGTACTGAAGTAATCATTACAGAGACCAAGAGAGAAGAGAGAGACAAAGCGAGGACACGTTTTTTCTATGAATAAAACAGAACCACAGTTCATGAATCATAGGAAAGTATGCCATGTTTTTGACTGCAGTCTCAGGCTGAACGTATTTCCGTTGCTTCCAGCCTCTGATGAGAGATGAGAATATTAAAGCTGTGGTCTTCACAAAGTGCCTATTAATGATTATTCCCTTATATTTATCTCTATATCTGTATGGTTTCTGAAGGATTGTCCCTGGTGGGATCAGCAATATTCAGATGATATGTTTTGAATACATTTTCCCTGACCTGTTATCCTCAGCAAGCCAGACGACGATCAAACAAAAGGAGTGGCTTAACTCATGCTTCTGCAGAGGGGAAACAACAGCGTGTTGTGTTCTTTTTAATCAAGCTCATTACTATGGGAGGATTTCGCAACCATAGATTTAGGAAAACAAAAATCAGCGAGGGGGAATTAGACATGCAAGTAACAACGTTTTCTACATTGTACAGTATAGTCAGGCAGACAGTATAATTAAATGCCTGCTATGGAGGCAGAAGTTGCAGGCAGATGTTTTGTCTCTTTGGTGGCCCCCTTTTTTTTTTTTTTTTGTTAAAATTGTTTCAATTTTAAGACTTTTGCCCCTTTTCTTTCTTATAATATGAAAGAACTTTGATGCTGCTTCTTAATCTACAGGTAAACTTCTCTTCTAGTTAGAGTATTGACAGGAGATGGCTTGTATTCCCCTGTCTGTGTAAGGGGGATATCCTCTGGATTGCCTTCTTCGTTTTTGCTGAAACTAGCCGTGCTGAAGGTCTCATAGGATGAGGTCAACTTTTTGTTAAGGAGGTTTCTGTTGCGATCACCCATGAGAGAGGCTTCTCCATTGGCCAGCTTTTCCTGACTACCCCGTTCATCAACAGGCATGAAAGTGGAGAGTTTTGGCTGGCTCTTCTGCTTTCTTTCAGGAGAAGTGCGAACTGGCATCCAGCAGGAGTCCGAGTGGCCATATTCATCACACTCTCGGGTACACTTCCCTGTCAGGGCTACATCTGGTAGAGGCCTTGAATCTGAAAATAAAATAGAGTTGTCTTTACAAACAAATAATATTGCAATGGCTTTCAGTGAAACTGAGAATCCTTAAATTCAGAGAAGGTATTTTTAAAGGTTGTAGTAAGAATGTTGCAAGAATTTCTCCAGGAATAGTTTTTTGTTACATTGCATGTGCCTACAGGCAACAAGCGTATCTGTACGGTTATTCTTGACCTCAAGAAATGAAAAATAAGATTATTAAGCCATTTCCTGTGTTTGTAAATCAATCTCAAAAGCATTTAGTATTAAGTACCAAATGAATTTTCATCTCTAAAAAGCTCAATCAAGCACTTAATTCCATACTGCAAATTTTCTTAAAATTATTAAAAATACCTTTCTTTGAATTTTTTAAAAGGAACGCTTTGAAATTATGTGAAAAGAACTTGAGGCCAGCACCCTGCTAATACTTGTGAACATGCTTAATGCCCTGCAGGGGAAGAGCTCTGTTATTGACAATGGAACCCAATTTGCATATAGTTTAAACTTCTGCTTATATTTCTGAGGATTGGGCATTCATCATTAGTACACAATATGTTACATGAAGTGTACAATCACTACATAATAGAAGCATACAAAACCCCCACTATTGTCTATAAATGTAATTTAACATGTATGGATAAAGCTGTTCTGTGTGTGTTGTGTGTAGAGTCAGGGAGAATCTGAGTGTTGCCTGAACAGATTCACTGAAGTTTTAAACGGGACTTGTATTAGGTGTCCCAGATCATTGTGTCTAAGCTTTCTTGTTACAGTACCTGTAAGAGCTTTCACTGAAATGTAGCAATATTCAGGGTCTGCAAGACTGAATCCTATCTGATAAAAACACAGGGAGTTTCTAATATTCATATTTTTATACTTGCATTAATTAATCGTTACAGTAATTTTACTAGTAATACCCTATGCCTTATAAAATATCTTTCAAAGGCCTATTCATCTTTTGCTTTGTTACTTCTATTTTGCCTATTTTTTCTTTGATTTTGACTGCCAGGTGACCTTCTCAAATAATGACTATTCCAACTGTGATTTTTTTAAAGCAAATTAGTAAAAAACACTGCTGCTGAGGTTTAAAAAAAAGCAACCAAAATTTGATTCTTCCAGAATAAACTATTTTATTTTAAAATAATTGCAACAGGTGCTTACAGAGGAAACTTATTTCATTTCAATATCTGTGGACTTAATCTTGATAGAATTACAAAAGCTCTTGAAAGTCAGATTTATGTTCATGTCCTGATTTTTTAATGCATTTAAGCATTCATTTAACTAGTAATTTTTTGCAGTCTTGTAAAGAATATACATACTATGTGTTATTAACAGTTGTCAACATTTTATAGCATCTACTATATGTATTCTGTGTACTATATGTATTCTGTATAATATATGTATTCTGAAAAATGTACAGTATTCCATATTTCCATGTGTCACTGATTTTAATGAGGAAAACTTCACTAATGTTTAAATACCCGACTAACTCTGTAGCTGAGAAGTATAAGGCTGGGAGTGATTTTATAATTTTATTTATTTTACAGTTGTACATTGCATAACTTTTGCACTTAAACTCAGCCATGACTCCCACATTTTTTCAATTAAGAATACAAAGAGTATGAAGTTATCAGCCTATCTGTTCTCAGATGACTGTGTTTTGCAGATGTAGACAGAAGATGGGACTGTAAAAGGAAAATTCTCTATTAGTCAGCACAAGACTTATCCTGCAACGTTTAGGGTAGGAACCAAAGTGAGGACAAGAGAGTTTTTTAGGTAATTTTGGTAGGAACAAGAGAGGGAAAATGGAGAAATAAGCAGATTAAGGGACCAGTCACATGTAAATTGTTCACTGGCTAATAAGTTTGGTTGGTTGTGCCCTGTGTATTATCATCATCATCTGTCCAACCTTCTTAAATTCCCTTGTAACACTTTCTTGGTTATGTGCTCTCTGTTACGTTTACACAGAGAGAAGCAGAATGAGGCCACCGGTTCTGTCTGTGTTTATGTGAGTGCTGAATGTTTGTAAATTTGTGTGGCCAGCTGTGTGTGTATATATATGGTGTCTGTATGTGCACCTACTGGGATTACATTGTCTTTGCTACCGATTGGAGCTGGGACATGGAGCAGTAGCAGCCTTGCCTTCCTCAGGCTGTGGAATCCTGTGTGATGCATTTTCCTCTAAAACACCCTTCAATTAATATTTTGCACCTATATTTGATGTAGCCTTCTACTCCATTGTTTTTTGCATCTGTTCTAAGAGCTTGAATCGGTACAGCATTTAAGCACACATTTAATCTAGCGTGTTTTAGAACCTGTTGCATTTTAACTACTCTTCTGTTTAAAAGATGGGCATAACTTTAGCATTTGGGGGGCAGGAAGCAAGGCAAAGAAGAAGGGAATGTTTTGTGTGTGTTTTACCAGAAGATGCATGAAACAATCAGCTACAAATTAATTAACTGTACTTTTACTAATTCACTGAACAGATTGTCCCTCTTTTGCAGAGTAATGACTTTATGTTACTCTTTTTATATTACCTGAAAAAAAAAAAAAAAAGTTACTCTTGTCTTCTAGCATAATTTACATCCAAACATATCTATCTCTAAGAGACATGCTTTTTAAAGTACTTCTAAGTTTAAAAGTTAAAAACTTCTGCAGGAACCACACTGCTAGCTGACAAGCCTAGTGGGATATGACATAGCAAAGTATTTGTCAGCACAATTGGCAAGTCATCAAGGAAGATTACAAAGATTTCTACCCAGTTACGTATCTGGAAACTAACTCAAAATGAGTGTTTAAAATGCCAGTAGTTAAAAACTAAATTTTATCACAGTGCTTAATTAGTGAGAAAGTAAACCTGGAGGGATGAGATTTCTAGTCATACAGAAATTTATACATTTGTGATTAGGTTTTAAGTTTTTATACACAAACCACTAAAATTTAAGCTTTTATTTGCATAAAATTATCTTCTGACTTACAATGGAAGATATCATCTAAGTTATTTTCAAACATCTCCTCTTATGGTGTCTCTAAATCTGAAGTAGGTATTGCTTGACTATTTTCAAAGCCATTGTAAACCTGCTTCCTAAAATGCAGATATTTAGACAGGTTTTTAGGTATACATGTAAATTAAGACTTTGAAAGTGAATATTTGTATAGATTTCACTTGCAACTGCTTAGACTTCAGCTTAAAAAAAAAATAAATGGAGAACACTAATTTAAAGGGTCTCACAACCTACTTTCCCATTGCATCTGATAAGTTGCCACCACCAATTCCCAAAGTTAACTGAAAACTAAAAAGAAAACCAGAAAAACACCCACGCAAACCACCAAACAAAAAAAATCAAACCCAAACCAGCAAACAAAACAAGAGAACAAAAAGAAAAAAAACCCAAACCATTACTTTTATCATTAACCCAACAAATTTTTAAACACTTATGGCTAATTTCTGAGATGGTTATAACTTACATTTTCCATAAATCTGTATAAAATCATGCAAATAAATGGAGCTATTTATATGTATGCTCACATCTGTGCTGAATACAGCTGACTATTGCTTTAGGGCTACAAGGACTGTTATCAAAAAAGGCAGCCACCTACCATGGCAGTGTGGAGAGGGAAAATATGATGTTCTATATCCAGTTTGAAACCAAAACCAATTAACAACAAAAATCTTCTACCCAAGCAATTTTCCATTACTTTTTACCTCCCATTCCTTACCAAAGAAGGTCAATATATTTCATCAAGTACAGAGAAAGTATTAAGAACACAATAGTCAACAAGTATATGTTACAAGTTATGTGCTTTTTTTGTACCCGCACACTGCAGAAATATAACCAAGGATTCACACTCACTCTGGTTCCACTTTGCACATTTTTTTAACAACTGTTCTTGCACAATGTATTTTATACAAACCCAGCATTATCAATTAGTCATTCTAGCACATACACTTCTTTGGATGAAGGTGCAAGGAGCTTTTAATTTTCTTGGGTTTTGTAAACCACGCACAAAGCCTATGGTAATGACTAACTTTAGATGTACTTAAATAGTCAAAAGCTCTGTTCCACTTTCCCCTGGAGATGAAAAACTCTCCAAAGCAATAGCAACTCCTTATCTAAATACAACGACTTGGACATTCCCAGAAAGAACTCTGTGCCCAGAAAATATTCCTAGCTATAGACCTTTTCTTAGAGGAGTACGCAACCACAGGAGCCATACAGTATTACAGCAGTGCAATAATTCTTCTTTAAACCATGCAGGTTGGTCCACATCTTTGTTAGATGAATTCTAAATAGTATCTATGACAAATCAATGACTAAATGCAGATTTTGCTGCCTTTCCCATAACATCCCTGCATGATTCGCATTACTAGGGACCTCTAAAAAGTGCCTGTACAGTAGTTCCAGAGTACTGTGAGAAAAGAAAAAGGAATATGAAAAAGAAAAAACAGCTGAGAGATTACATACGGTAGAAAATATACACTGTTTAAGGGGCGTGGGCGGGTTGGAAGCTAAGCTATAGCAATACACAGCTATAGCAGTAGTGTCTTTGAAATTCCTGCCTCCTAATTGCAGTAATCCTGGAACTGAACCCCAGTTAGTGTTGTGGCATATCCTGACACACCAAGACATTATTAAAATACTTAAACATATTTGAAGGCATCAGCAATTTCTTTCTCTGCACCTAAGGCTAAATACAGTTAAACAGCAATTGAACATATCTCAAGAAGCATTTAGTGCCTCAAGGCTTGGGCTGCTGTCATTCTGAATGCAACATTATCATGTACTGCAGAGATAGTGCATGCCATCTCTAAAGCAGCCCTACTGAATAAAGTCAGACACAAATCCACTGTTTGAGATATGCCAACTGCACTGAAGTAATGAATATATTAATTGCTTTTGGACTAGAATAGTTTCATGTACATCATGCCCAATTCTGAAATTCTTTTTAGTGCTTAAGAAAATACTTCAGAGCACAGAAAGGCTTATATGTACATTGATTGAATTATTAATACTGTGAGAAGAGATATAACAGAAGGATATAAAATAATGAATTCTGAACCATTTTATTCTTTTGTTATTGAAGGAAAAAGAAATGCAGAATTAAAGTGAGACTTTTCAATACTTGACTTGAAAACTGCTAAAATAAAAGTATCCCTTAAACAGTCCTTAATTCCAAATTCTTAGCTGGTTTCAAGAGAGACCAGACTGGAATTTTCAAAGGAAACATGAAATTATATATAGTTCTCTATCACTAAACTAAAACAAATAAACAAATAAAACAATCTTATAAGAAAATAGAAACAAGTAACTAATTCTTTACAATATGAACACTTGACTCATGTTAGATGAATGAAAGCAAGTTAGCCAGAAGAGGCGGCAGCTGAGGGAGAAAACAACACTTTTCATGTACCTAAAATTCTATAGTAAAACAAGAGTGGGAAGAATCTGGTTTGCATCCCGATAGTGGAAAGGACCAAAAGTAATTGATTCCATCAATGACAAATCAGGTTAAAAATTAGAGAAAAAAATCTTTGAGGATAAATGTAGTGATGGAAGCCTACAGATTCTCCATCACTGGAAGGGTTTTGCAAATGTCTAGAAAAATTTCTCCCAAGGGTAACATAAACATAGCTAATCCTACCTTGGGAAAGCAACGATACACTAAACAATCTACCTCTAAAAGTTCCCTTCAGCTCTACAACTCTATTAATACGATTACTAACATTTACGTACTTTGGCCTCAGTCCAATCCTTGACTGTTTCTGGGTTAAGATTCTTGATTTATTCAGTAATAAATCAACCTTAGAAGCTGGGCTAAGGTTCAGCTAAAAG